GTTTAGAATATATAAATTTCCCCTCCATCTTACAACGCACGAAGTTGGCACCGCGACATTCGACAAAAGACGAGACGTACTATCATTTTCTTCTAGATTTTATAATTTTTCGTTTAAGTTCAAAATATTCCTTTCTCTATGATAAATATGATTGGCGCTATATCGATCCTATTTTATGATACACTGAAGTGTAATAGCTAGAGATGTGATATTTTTATAAATATTTTAGAAATGGTAAGTCGCCAGTGATCAAAGAAATATAGTCAAGAGTTCGAACGACTTTTGCTGGCAGGTAATTTTTATTTAATAAATTTAAATTATCAAGAACATTATCAAAATAATGCAAAATCCGGAAAAACAAAACGCGAAGGATACCAAAAAATAACATCAAAATAACGCAATATCTGGAAAAACAAAACGCAAAAACCCAAAAAATAACATCAAAATGTCGCGTCTCTAATAGCATTGGATCCGGAAATTTTTTTCTGTGGGTGCAGTAATGCCGCAAATCTGTACACCACAATGCCCTCAGCGGTTTACTCCTCGGTGAAGAGCATTAAATGGGAGGTAATTGCGACAAACATCGCACACCTATATGAATAAAAAGCACTTTGCAAAATCCACTTCTGTGGTACGTTAGCATTACGATTGTATAAAATGATAACTAATTGCAAATTTTATTCTAGATTTTAGAATTTTTTATTCAAGATAAAATATTTCTTTCTCTATAAATACGATGGGCGCTATATCGATCCTATTTTACGATACACTGAAGTGTAATAGCGTTGGATCTAGAAATTTTTTCTGTGGGTGTAACAATAAGATACTTTTCAATCGCTTCGAGACGTTGCAGACAATCCGATCAAATTATACGTACGCGTGTATAATTTGTAAGCGATAACCGTTCGTTTTTAATCGATACACTCTTATGATGAAAAATTCCATTTCTAATATCTTGCCTTAATAAGGGCCGTGAAAAATCATATGACGAGTATCAATCGCGAACAATGTGATTCTCGAAGCTACGCTGATTCGGGGGAGCGATCGTTAGACGGTAATCGATAAACGGAATGAACGGTCGCTATATTTTTCGACCTATACCGATACGGTCAAGCGATCGTCTTTACGGCGTATCGAGACGCACGGGGAAGAGCTTTTCGGAAAAGTTTCCATCGAGTGACCGGGTCATCCAATCAGACATGGAATCAATGAGTTCTCCTCGTGCAATTTGGCATCGAACGAATTCGGCTTAATCCAATAGTTTCACCCCAGCGATATCAAACGACAGCAAGAAAGCGCGATAACGAATCGCCGTTGGCCTTTAATTTTTTTTTCCCGAATTCGTCTGTACATCCCCGAACTTTTATCGATTGTTCGTTGGATCCAACTTCGTCCCGGATTTATGTGCCCAAAATAATATAGAAACCGCTCGCACAATTAAACAACGTCATAATCCTCGATGAATCGTAACTTTTTAAAGACATCGATAGCAATTAAACGTATAGTACAACAACTTAAATCAGACAGAAGAAGATTGTGCTGAATTAATGCGAACTGGACAAAAGAAGAGTAATTAATTTGAACCGACTCGACAGGCCGAGAAACTTGCGTCAACTTGAATTGATATAATTACGCGATCGTTAATTATTAGCTATGCGCCAAGCTTATTTGAAAGCGTCGCAAAATTTGAGATTTTCGGAGCTCATTAAATGTCACGCATTGCATTATTGATTATGCCACACTGAAAAAAATTTCTGGTTGAATATGGACGAATCAGATAATTCCTTTAGGATTTACCAGAATTCCTTTAGGATTTACCAGAATTCCTTTAGGATTTACCAGAATTTCTGTAGGATTACAGGAATTCTGGTAAATCCTAAAGGAATTCTGGTAAATCCTAAAGGAATTATCTGATTCGTCCATATTCAACCAGAAATTTTTTTCAGTGCAGTGATTTCGCGTGATGCGTAGCGGACAATTAATAATTGCAGCATTCGTACGTGACGTACGATAGAACGCCTGCGTCTATAGATGCAGCAACGTCCTTTATCCGATGCGGAATAATTTTCTTATATGTAGGCGGAATATTTTGATTGAGATTGCCGCGACGCTTATCGAGCGAAGTTGACAAAGTTGTAAGACCCGGCCGCGACTTAACGTCGACGTTTCGCGCTTCGCAGAAATCTTTTGCAACTTTTTCAAGGATCCCCTCGAGCACCGGCACCTGACGCCGGCGGCGATATTAGTAAGCGTTTTCTCGGAAGTGAGCTTTATACACGTGTGAGATCGGTCACGTTGGAAATCACGTTCGTGCGGCAAGGACACCCGCGTTCTCTAGATCGTACTCGATCGTTCGATATCGGCTGCGACGTCGCGCAGGAACACACACTCGCGACGTTTCTCTTGGAAATTTTCCTCGCGAAATTACCATGTGCCTCGCGCCGAGGATGCGAGGAGAAAGTAGAAACGTGAGGTCGATAATAGAAACCGGTAGAACGTTGAGATGAATCTAATTTACCATACACTGCATCCTGCGTTAATTGTCGCGCTTCTGTTGCCGCGAATTATCTAGAAATCATCTCCTTGCGTAGTTACAACGTTGAAGTGCGAACCTGTCAAGTTACGTCGGTTTCAAGAAGCTTCAACCTCCGATCCTTGTATTTATAAAAAATTATATATAATACGCACACTTGCATAAATTCTTATTAATAATTGTTTTCGGCGCACGGTAAAAATGTATAAGTCACGCGTTTGAAAGCGTTGCAGTTTATATTTAAAAAATTACACATTTCGACATTTCGGATGGCGCGTTAGGTATCGGGCGTGTTTGGAATCGGGACCATTGATTTAATATTTTAATAGTATCGTAACGTTTTGCAGATATTGTAATTAAGCCCACACCGAGTCATTTCTCGGAGTACTCAGCGAGGTTCAGTGATCAGACGTATGAGCGCTGATATACAGGGTGAGTCTTTCCATATCCGACAAAATTTTTGAGAAGGTAGAACGGATCGAGATGAACGGAAAAGTCCTGTACCATTTTGCAATTTTCGTAATAGTTAACGAGTAATTAATTATGAAAAATCGTCGTCTTAGGCCGGCCTACCGCCCAATTCGAGCGCGTGGCGAGATGTGCGCATAGCAATATCGATCACCGGGCGGCTACATCTTGCCACGCGCTCAAAAG